TCCGCAGAATGATTCCCTGAAGGATTGGAGCTCTGCAGAATAATTCCCTGAAGGATTGGAGCTCTGCAGAATAATTCCCTAAAGGATTGCAGCTCTGCAGAATGATTCCCTGAAGGACTGGAGCTCTGCAGAATAACTCCCTAAAGGATTGCAGCTCTGCAGAATGATTCCCTGAAGGACTGCAGCTCTGCAGAATGATTCCCTGAAGGATTGGAGATCTGCAGAATGATTCCCTGAAGGATTGGAGATCTGCAGAATGATTCCCTACAGGATTGCAGCTCCGCAGAATGATTCCCTGCAGGATTGCAGCTCTGCAGAATAATTCCCTGCAGAGCTTTGAATTCACTGCCCCGTGTCCCGCCAGCAGCCCCAGCACCTGCTCATCCTCACGAGGAAGGCTCCTACCAGCACGTGCTGAGGCTCCCGTGGCACAGAGGCCTTCAGCCTCAGCCTCCCGCTCCAGGCAGCTTCTCCAGCTGCAAACAGGAGCGCTCCCGCCTGCTAGGGCCATTTTTGAGCGTTTTTTCCCCAAATCCTGTGCAGGGTATGGGGAGGGGCGGGGGCTGCCATTCTTCTTCCTCCCGGCAGACTCTGCCCGGGGTTAGTGCAGGTGCCGAGGGCTCGCTCGGGAAACCGTGTGCATTAGTTTGTGGTGCCAGAAAGGTGGAAAAATCTGTATGGTTTTAGTCCAGAGAGAGGGCAGCAGGTCGAGCAGAGCGCCAAGGGCAACGGGAGAGAGGCAAACCCGGGCATTTCCAGAGGGACTGGTCCTCCGAGGACACGGACGAGCGGTCGCTGAACCTGCGCCCAAAGAGCCAGGCGGCGTCTGGGGTGGGCCCGCGGGGTGCCAAAGGGAGAGAGAAAAAGGGTGATTTCCAGGGAGAACCATCCCAGGCAACGTTCCCGACACGTCCCGGGGGCAAAAGCCTCGGCCGGGCACGTGGATTAACTCTTGTGCACGGAATAAACGCTTGAGCATGGAATAAATTCTTGTGCATGGAATAAATTCTTGTGCATGGAATAAACTCTTGTGCACGGAATAAACTCTTGTGATGGAATAAATTCTTGTGCATGGAATAAACTCTTGTGCATGGGGTTTATCTGAGACTGCTGTGGGGACAGTGATGGGCCAGCACGTGCCACCCACCTGGGGGACACCCGGGAGGCCTCGTCGCCCGCGGGCACCGCGGGGACACCGAGGGCTGGCAGCCCCTGCCATGGTGTCTGTTCACCCCGATCACTCGGGGCTCTGCTCCAGGATCTCTCTGCTTCCCTAATGCTCCGCTTGCATCTTTCCCGGTTGGTTTTTAGCTGGTTTTTAATTGCAACGGATCATTCTGTGATTCTGGGATGATCCCATGGAGAGGCTGGGACCTGGTCAGGGCAGCCTCCCACCCTGCGCCTGCTGAGCTCAGACCCTGCAGGTCCCCAGTTCCTCCCATCCCAGCTCCCGGTGCTCCATTCCCACCCCATAATCCAAGGGCTGATCCGCAATCCAAGGGTGACCCAGGGAATGGCAAGGGAGGGAAGTGCAGAACCTCACGCAGAGAAGAGGCAGCTTCAAGTCCTTTGTCCTGAGCCACTGCTCAAACTAAAGGGGAACTTTCAAACTTCATTTTCTTCTGTCCCCCTGGTGACTCTGTCCCTCTCTATCCTTTTGCTTTTCTCGTAAAAACATAAATTCGGCGTGTTGAACAGAACAGCCTATATGGATTATTCTTTATGGCTTTCATACTGGCTAGGTAAAAAAAAAAACCCTTGTGTATGATTAGACAAATTAAAAAACAAATAAAGCCCTAGTCTACCTGCAGCACTGCCATCATGTCAAGCTGTGCAAATTAGCAGTGTCCAGCCCCACGGCTGATAATTAATGCTCTTTGATCATTTAAAGCCAACTCAGTTGCCCTAATTCCTCCTCCTCTTTCTCCACGCCTGCTGCAGCACCGTAGGGGACTCGGGCGCCCCTCGGGAATACGTACACTGCATGGACATGGGGGACACGAGCTCTTCGTCCAGGTCGTCCACGTCATCGGTGAGGATGAAGTGCGAGGGGTTGGGCCGCGGGGTGCCCATCCAGCCGGGGTCGATGTTGAGGGCGGAGGCCAGCGTGTGGAGGCCGGGGTTGTTGACGATCTGGAAGCCGCAGAGCGTCTCGATCTGCTGCCAGCGGTGCAGCCGCTCGCGCAGCGCAGCCGTCACCTCGCTCAGAGCTTGCCTGCGAGCCGGCGCCGAGCGCGGGAGCAACGGGGGCAACGGGAGAGAAACACAAAAAACGCAGTAACTCGTCTGAAACGGGCGGTGCAGCTTCACTTGCTGACGTCTGAGACACCTGTGACGCCACGGAGCGGGACACAGCGAGGACCCCCGAGCCATGGGGGGAACCCTGGGACCACTCGTCACCTCCAGGTGAGGAGGAACTTCACTGTGAGGGTGCCAGAGCCCTGGCACAGGCTGCCCTGGGAGGTTGTGGAGTCTCCTGCTCTGGAGGTCTCCAAAACCCGCCTGGATGCCACCCTGTGCCACATGCTCTAGGTGTGCCTGCTTGAGCAGGAAGGTTGGACTAGATGATCTCTAGAGGTCCCTTCCAACCTTGAATATTTTGTGATTCATGAAGGGAGAAGGTAGGGAGGAAAAGGGCCAAGCTCTTCTCAGTGGTGGCCAGCGATAGGACAAGGGGTAATGGGCATTAGCTGAAACACAGGCAGTTCCATCTCCAGGTGAGGAGGAACTTCGCTGTGAGGGTGCCCGAGCCCTGGCACAGGCTGCCCTGGGAGATTGTGGAGTCTCCTGCTCTGGAGGTCTCCAAAACCCGCCTGGATGCCACCCTGTGCCACATGCTCTGGGTGTCCCTGCTTGAGCAGGAAGGTTGGACTAGAAGATCTCTAGAGGTCCCTTCCAACCTTAAACATTCTGTGTGATTCACTGCAGCCTCCTGGCTCCCCGGGAACACCCCTTTGGCCAGGACTTCCAATTCCTCCACACAATCCTGATTCCAGGTTTATGTGCATAAAATCAGGAGAGTTTTAGCTAAAGGAGCAATTTCAATCCCAGCTAAATAAAGTCACAGAAGGGAGAGAGAAACGAGGGAAGAGCCAAAGCAGCGACTCACTTGGCCGTCAAGATCTTATGATCAACGTCATCCAGAGAGGAGCTGTGAGCCACGTGAAACGTCCCAAACAGGGTGTTCCGCTTCTTCTTAATTTTCTCCGCCTGCAACACGAACAGAGCAAGAAGGTCACAGGAAGAACCTTACGTTTCCTGCGGGGACCAGCACATCCTGGCAGGACTGTGACGGGAATAATCCTGCAGCTGCTTTCGCGCGGGGAACTCGCAGGAATTGTCCTTCGGCTGAAGGATGCGATGGGAGCGAGGAGGAATTCTCCAGCAGCAGCAGCGGAAGCAGCTTGCGGGGCTCCAGCTCCTCCTTGGCCCTTCTCCAGGTTTCCAAACAGTCTCCGGGGACTGAACCAGCTGCTTCCTACGTTTAATGACTGTCTTAGGAAGCTTGTTTTGTCCTTCTCCTGAGTAATTATCCAAGGAATACTGTCAGTGCCCTACAGGTCTTTTAACCTTCCTTTTAGGGCTCAGCTCTTTGGCTCACAAGATAAGCGTGGCTTAACTTGAGACAAGCCAAGGCCGTGAATACGGTACCTGACTCAACAGAAAGCAAACGGCTGACATGAGGAAACATCTGTAATTAATAAACCCAAATCAAGAAGGACGGATTTTTATGTGCTAAAACGTCTGTAATAAACCCAAATCAAGGACAGATTTTTACGTGCTAAAAAATCTGTAATAAACCCAAATCAAGGACAGATTTTTATGTGCTAAAACATCTGTAATGAACCCAAATCAAGATGCACAGATTTATATGTGCTAAAATGTTTGTAATAAACCCAAATCAAGA